CCCCTCCCACGGAATTCAGTTCTTGGGTACCCCCACGCGACAATATTCGGGCTAGGCAAAAACTTACCGACACGTTCCAACAAGCGCACACCACCACGTCCCCTGGCACACAATCCCACGCGGCGTCTGGAGCGCAGTTTGTTTTGGGACCTCCACAGGGAAATTTCTCTCCCCCGAAACTTGCCGACACCCCCCCCTGCGCGCTCACCACGTCCCCGCATCCCCCCCATGCGAGTCTGCAGCCCAGAGTGGCCCCAACACGACAATTTCTGCCCGAAAAGAGAGGAAACGCCCCACCGCGCATCCACCACGCTCTGGCGCACCCACGCCTCGCGAGAGCTCTGTTTTTTGAAAGCCCTCACACAGCGAACCATTTTTCTGGCCCGAAGAATTACCGACGTAAATCCGCCGCGCCCAACACCACGCCACCGGTCACCCCCACCCTAGCGGAGCTCTGTTCTTGGGACCCTCCACAAGACAATTTCTGGACCCAAACTTACCGACATCTCCCACCGCGCACCCACACGCTCCAGCTCCCCCACCCCAGCGGGAATTCAGTTTCCTGGGACCCCGCCACACGACTATTTCGGGCGGGCAAAACTTATCCACACGTTCCATCCGCGCCCACCACGTCCCTGGACACCCCCCATTTCCCACGCGGAGAGCGCAGTTTTTTGGGACCTCCCCACAGGGACATTTCTAGCCCGCGAAAAATTGGGGCCGACACCCCCACTGCGCGCTCACCACGTCCCGCCCCCCCCCCCCCATGCGAGCTCAGCTCTTGGGACCACCCATCACGGACCATTTTGACCCGAATACGTAGGGGACCCTCACCGCGCCTCCACCACGCTCTGGCGCCCCCACGCCACGCGAGCTCAGTTTTTGAAACCCTCCACGCGACCATTTCTGGCCCGAAACTTACCGACGCAATCCGCCGCGCCCCCACCACGTACCGGCACCCCCACCCCACGCGAGCTCAGTTCTTGGGACCCTCCACAGGAGAATTTCTGGTCCCAAATTTACCGACATCTCCCACCGCGCCCCCGCCACGCCCCAGCACCCCCACCCCACGCGAATTCAGTTCCTGGGACCCCCCACACGACAATTTCGGGCGGCAAACTTACCCACGCGTTCCACCGCGCCCCCACCACGTCCCGGCACCCCCATCCCACGCGGCGAGCGCAGTTTTTTGGACCTCCCACAAGACAATTTCTAGCCCGAAGCTTGCCGACACCCCCCACTGCGCGCTCACCACGTCCCGCCCACCCCCCCCCATGCGAGCTCAGCTCTCGGGGCCCCCATGACGACCATTTCTGACCCGAAACGTAGGGGCACGCCCCACCGCGCCTCCACCACGCTCTGGCGCACCCACGCCACGCGAGCTCAGTTTTTGAAACCCTCCACGCGACCATTTCTGGCCCGAAACTTACGACGCAATCCGCCGCGCCCCCACCACGTACCGGCAACCCCACCCCACGCGAGCTCAGTTCTTGGGACCCTCCACACGACAATTTCTGGTCCCAAACTTACCGACATCTCCCACCGCGCCCCCACCACGCCCCAGCACCCCCACCCCGCGCGAATTCAGTTCCTGGGACCCCCCGCACGACAATTTCGGGCGGCAAACTTACCGACACGTTCCACCGCGCCCCCACCACGCCCCGGCACCCCCATCCCACGCGGCGAGCGCAGTTTTTTGGGCCTCCCACAGGACAACTGCTGACCCGCAACGTACCGACACCAACGGCCGTTGCACCAGGTTAGCTCGGCGGCCTCTGGCGCGCCCAGGCTCGCGGCCGGGCGGGCGCGCAGGGCCGCTCGCAAAGCGCCATCGTAGTCGCCTTGGCCGGCGAAGGCGGCAGGGGGCCCAGCGCGCACGACGCGCAAGGCCGCTCACAAAGCGCCCTCGCCGCCGCCTGGGGCCCGCGAAGGCGGCATGGGGCACGGGGCCCAAACGCGCGCACGCACCTACACCGAGACCTACACCTACACCTGCACCTGCACCTACACCCACACCCACACCTACACCTACACCTACGCCCGCGCGCGCACTCCTAGACTCACCCACATGTCTTGCGAGGCGTCCGAACATGCACTGTCGAAAGTGGCGGTCAAAAGGTTGGGGACAATCGAAGCCAGACATACACTAAATGGGGCCCGGAAGGCGCAGGGAACTCTGCCTAGCCAAAGCGACGGCGAGAGAGGCAGGGAGGAATCAGAGAACGAAGGGTAGTGGCAGGGGCGGGGCGGGCCAGGTGAAGTCTGACACGAAGGCGCAAAACATATGAAGCTCGTAAGCCGTAAATCATATGCCCGCGGCACTGGCAGGAATTTTCGCCCGAGTTACTCATGGCATCACGCTCTTCGCAAATCGGATACCTTACTAGATGTTATGAACCAGCTGTGCTCAGGGTCTGGGACATTTGAGCCAGCCCCCGCTGAATCGCAAACTCGGGCGCGCAGGAGGCGCCTGGTAGCATCTGTGCAGAGTCGCTGCTCGGGCAGAGAAAAAGGTTGCTGCTGCGGCGGCCGTTGGTGTAACTTTCGCGGCGTCCACCGCGGCGGGTGGAAAGCGCCCCGCCTCTGCGCCGACGTGAATTCGAATCGTCTGCTGCACTGAGGCCGTACCCAACATGCGAGACTACTTAGCATAGTCCTCTTGCAGCGAAGCGGTGCCGGGCGCAGTAATCGACCCGTGCCTCGCCGATGTCTGGATCGCCGCACCCGCCCTCGTAAGGCGTCGATCGATGCCTCCTGCGCGCACTGCGCGCCAGAGCTGGACCCCGGATGGATGGATGGAGGAGCGAGGTCGACGACAGACTCCGCGCAAACGCTGTTTCGCTGCGCAAGTGCTGTTCTGCAGCATCCACGAGGCATCCGAGAGTTCGGGGCACGATAGCGCCGAATATTGCAATGGTCGCGTTCCGAGCCGAAATTATGTTGAGACCAAGCGATCTGCAAATAAACTGTCGCGCGTCGACACTGGGCCTGCGGGGCGCGCGGGCAGAGAGCAGCGCGCCGTAACGGCCCTGAGGCCGCGGTACCACGTACGATTCGGATGTTGTTTAGGTGGTGCTACCAAGTCGCTGCTGCTTAACATATGCAACAACATTCGGGAGCCATCCGGAAGTCTGGAAGATGCTACCACCGCGCATGGCAACGGTCGCGGTCCAAGAATGTGTTACCAACCCACGACCTGTCCTTTGGTCTGGTACCCTGGCCCGTCGACATGGCTCGGGTTTGAAATCAATATTGAGAATCGCATCCGGAGTCGCCCTGACGTCAACAATGTCGTTGAAAGCGACGAAGGGTGGGAACTGCTGAAGCCAAACTTTCGCGACAAGCACCGGCTGCGCCTCGTTGGATGTGAGCGCCCGTTGCAACGTCTGACCACCAAGAAGTTGAATCTGAAGCTCTGTAAACGACTTCTTGCCTTGCTCCCTGGCGAATGACTCTGCGACGCGTCGGTTGCGCCCGCCAAAGCACGTCGCGATGAGGCCAGCGATGCCGCAAAACTTCATGAAAGTTCGTCCGTCACAGGTGGGCGCAATGCCTTTGCGACTCTCCGTATCTCTGACGTGCCAGCGCGTAGGGCGACAGCCTTGGCGCTGGCGCCGCAGCCAAGACCGACTCTACACCCAGCGGGCAACGCGACAATATCCTCGAACGCGCCAGGTAGCTCGCAATCCTGAATGTCCGACACGCAGGCTACGAACGAAAACCTCTCAGGCAATTTCTGGAACATGCGCGCACTCACCACCTGCCTGTACAGTCATCGGCCTGACCTAAGGAACGATAAATAAGGAACAAAGCCCCTTTCTTCCAAGGAATAACGCATAGGGACCGATGAACAACTACTACATAACGCATGGAGAACAATAAACAACGCATGCAACCCTAAGGAACGACCGAGCCCCTTTTGAAAAGTAAGTGTTCCCTATTCAAACCGCTCGCTGTATCCAATCGTGGCCTCGCAAAGCTCCTCTGCTGCAGCCTCTTCGGCAATATTGGGCCCCATCGGCGCCGAGCAAGCTAGGCTTGATGCTCCCCTGCATCTGCATACACACATGCGGTGAACAACCTCGTGCGGGGCACAAATGTCAATGATACCGGCGTCCCTGGCAAAATCCATCACATCTGGGCACGCAGTGATATTCTCGCCGGAGCCCACGCCGGGGTGATGCTTCAAGTCTTCGCGCCTCTCATTCATTACACCTGTGAGCATCCTGCCATCCTCCAACTTCCCGTCGTGCACCCACAAGATGACGTCCGTCTCGAACAAGCTTGACTCCCGGCACCTCTGGGCTTCCACTCTCGCGGACACACACGCCCACGCGCCGCTGCCAACATAGGCTGCGCGGTATGTTTGTTCCAGGCGCTTGCAGAGCAACGCTTGACTGCCTAGGAGGCTTGCCCACTACGTTGGGTCTACTGATGATCCTGGTGTAAGCGATGGACAGGTCAGCTGCTTCCTCGGCCGCGGCCACGAAGTCGGTAATGCCGTCGCCGATCATGATGATGGTCTCGAACGGGAGACTTGTGCGAATGCCCTGGATGGCCTTGGGCTTGCCGCCTGCGTGTGCTGTCGGATGGGAGAAACCGAACCCAGCAAAGACGGTGGGCTGCAGGGTGATATATGTTCGTTCTGGAAAAGCGTCCTGTTTGCGAAGGCGCGATCAAGCGGCACGTTGAGCAGCTTAGAGGCTGGCAGCGTCAGTTCCTCAAAACTGTCTCTGATGAGGTACATTCGCTTTTACCCAGCGGAAAATCCCAACGGCAGAGGGAGAAAGCAGCGGCGGGAGGGGGGGGGGACAGGGGGGGCGTGGGGAGGCGGGGTGCACGCAGCCCGCGCGCGGGCTGCCCGAATTGCGAATCAGTCTGGCGGCCCCGGGCGCTGCGCTGAACGCGCCTGCAGCGCCCCGCGCCACGGATGATGCACACGATTGCGCCACGATCGCGCAGAGCTCCCATTAGCTCTGCAATGCGAGGGCAGAGACGGCCATCCAGCGGGTGCGCCTCGTGAAAACTCTCGATGGCTGCGGAAGTCGGGCTCGGGACGCCCATGCGTTTCTGCAGGGCTTCCTCCAAAGAGAGCACCTCGTTCATTGCCTGGCTTGTGATTCTCTCCACTTCCGCAGCGTCGGCACCGACAAACTCGGCGATCGTATCCATGGAGTCCTTCCCGCAGACGGTGCAGTCCACGTCGAAGCACACAACAGTGGCAGTCTGCCAAAAGCTTAGCGCATGGGGAGGAGGGGGCTCGGCACCGAGACTGACGTACTTCACGGAGCCGTCGGGGTAGGCAGGCATTGCTGTATACCAGCGGCAAGAGATGGCCTGGAGCTGCCGGGACCTCGGCCGCGAACCAGCACCACCCACGGCAATAGCCGAGGCTTGAGCCAAAAGGCCACGGACACTGTCTCTCCCTCTCTCTCTCTCTCCCCCTCTCTCTCACGCACGCACGCACACACACACACACACACGCACGCACACACACACACACGCACACACACACACACACGCACGCACACACGCACGCACACACACACACACACACACACTTTTTGGCGTCGCGGCCGCGCGCGCAGCGGCGCGGCGTAGAACGTCGGGCAAAGACGCGCGCGGCCGGCTCAGGTCACGCGGCGCGGGGGCACCGGATCCGCCCATAAGGGATCGATAGCATCACTCGCGAGGGGGGCAGACGCGAGGGGAGCAGCGGGGACTGGGCGGGGACAGGAGACGGGGAGAGCGGGAAGACGGAGACCAGAGCAGTGCGCAGCGCAAGCGAGAAGATGGGGGACAGTGATGACCCGCAACGGCGGGGTGAGGACGGACGAGGCGACAAACAAACGAGGGCCCACACACACACACGCACACACAAACACAGACAGACAGACAGACAGACAGACAGACAGACAGACAGACAGACAGACAGACAGACAGACAGACAGACAGACAGACAGAGAGACAAACAGACAGACAGACACACAGACAGACACACAGACAGACAGACATGCATGCGTACATGCATGCATGGACATACATGCATACATACACAAATGCATACATACGTACATGCACATCTACAGACATGCATGCATACATACACACATACATACATACATGCATACATGCATGCATGTATACATACATACATACATACAATTATATATACATGCATGCATGCATACATACGTACATGCATGCAATCATACATGCATGCATGCATACATACAACTATACAGACATACATACACGCGTACATGCATACCTACAAGCATGCATACGTGCATACAACCATACATACATACATGCATGCATACATACATACATCCATTCATATGTACATATATATATATATACATACAGCGATACATACATACATACATACATACATACATGAGTGCATACATATCTACATCCATACATACATGCATACAGACAGACAGACCGATATACACACATACATGCATACATGCGTACATGCATGCATGCATGCATGCATACACACCCACATACATACATACATACATACATACATACATACATACATACATACATACACGTATGTAGACACGTCTCGTATATGTATGCATTCATACATACATGTATACATACATTCACACCCACATACAAACATTCATACACCATACATCAATACCTGTATGCAGGTATACAAACATACATCCATACATACATACATGCATGCATGGACACACACACGTGCACCCAAACATACATGTATACAAGTCTACATGTATGTACTCCTGCATACACACATACACATATCAATGAATACATCCGTACATACATACACACATCTATACCTACATACATCCATACATGCATACATGAATGCATGCATGCATACATACACACATACATGCACACACACACACACATACATACAGCACTAGAACCACGCGCGCGCTTCGCGCGCGCTTAGGTTCTAGCTAGGAGGCGAGCTTGAGTCAACGAAAGTCGCAGGGAAGGGGGCAGGGGGAAGAAGGCCAGAGAGCGCTGAAGGATACAAATACTGGAACCCTCTTGTGATTTTGTGGGGGGGCTCGTCCGGCCGCTCGCTGGGAGTTTGACGTAGCTTCTCGGGAGCCTCTGAACCTGTCGGGGGCCTCCTGGAAGCAGGTTCGAATCATTTTGGGGGCCGATTTGGGGCTTCTCGGGGCCTCCTTTGGGCCTCTTGGGGGTCTCCTGGGGCCTCTTGAGGGGCCTCCTTGGGGCCTCCTGGCGGCCTCTTGGGGCGGAAGGCTCGAGCATGCGGTTCGTGGTCCCCCTCTGGGCCCCCTCTTGGGCCCGTCTTGGGGCCCTCTTGGGCCATCTTGGGCGCCTCTTGGGCCGTCTTGGGGCCCTCTTGGGCTGTCCTGGGGCCCTCTTGGAAGTTTTCTGGGCCGTCTTGGGGCGGTCTTGGGCGCCTGTTGGGCGACCCCCCCCCCCCCCCCCCCCCCCCCCCCCCCCCCCCCCCCACCCACCTCTTGGACGCGGTGAAATCCCAAGAGGCGAACATGCGAAAAATATTCGTTTTCCCATAGGAATGGCACGATTTTTGCTTCTTGGGCCTCTCTTGGGCTGCCTCTCGGAGCGTCTTGGAGGTTTCTGGGACCTTCTTGGTATCATGACAGGCGTCTTGGAAGGCATCTGGAGCCATCGGAGCGCGTTCCGAAGCCGCCTGCGAACGATCTTGGACGGCGTCCGGCGGTCCGACGAGCCTCCGGCCCCCCCGGGGCCCACATTTGTGGTCGGGGTCCCGGCCCCGGGCCCCCGGACCCGGTGCGCCGTTATATGTATATACATGCATACACGCATACACGCTTACATGCATACCCATACGACCAACCTTCGGGTGATGAGGAGGTTGTAGGGAGGGCGAGGGGGGGGAACCAACAGCTGGCTCAACCGATCTCACTATCGATCTCACTCAACGGGACACCACGGGACACCACGGGACACTTGTCGATCTCACCATCGATCTCACTATCGATCTCACTCAACGGGACACCACGGGACACCACGGGCCACCACGGGACACCACGGGACACCGCGGGACAACTCTCGATCTCACTATCGGTCTCACTATCGATCTCACGATCGATCTCACTCAACGGGACACCACGGGACACCACGGGACACGACATCGATCTCCCCATCGATCTCACTCAACGGGACACCACGGGACACCACGGGACACCGCAGGACACCTGTCGATCTCACTATCGATCTCACTATCGATCTCACTTTTTGGGACACCACGGGACACATCGGGTCACCACATCGATCTCAGTATCGATCTTAATATCGATCTCACTATCGATCACAATCAACGGGACACCACGGGACACAACGGGACACCGCGGGACACCGCGAGCCACCGCCGGACGGAAGGACGGGGGAGAATCAGTTGTCTTGACTTCGCCCTTAGCAACGGCGGGTTCATTACTCTCGCGCGCCCACGCAGCTTCGCCTCGCCCGCACGCACGACACGAACGAGACGAAACGATTTCCCGATTGGGGGTCTCCGTTCCGCTGCGCTGTCGCCCCCCGGTCGGGGGTCTCCATTCCCGGTTGGGGGCCTCCGACAAGCACACGCGCACGCATGAAGAGAGATACTGAAGGGGAACTGGAACACACAAATAAATACACACAAATAAAATTATTCCCCATATTTTCCTATAGTTTCTGAGTTTCTGTCTTCCCCCCCAATTCCCATATTTTCCCATATTTTCCTGGGAATCGAGGATTAATTGTGTCTGTGTGTTTTTTTTCCAAGGGCTCCTAAGTTCGCGCTTCGCGCTGCGCGAAGCGCGAAGCGCGAATAACTTCGCGCTCTCGCGCCGCCCCCCCAAAGGGAGAAGAGGAGGACGAGGAGAAGGGGGAGGAGGAAGGAGGACCGCGAAGCGCGAACCGCGAATAACTTCGCGCCCTCCTGGGAGCCCTTGTTTTCCCTCCTGAGATACGCACGCGCACCCGCGGGGGGGCGGCGAGGGCGCCGCGGCGGCGCCTGCGGCGAGCGCGGCGTGGGCCTCGCACGGGCTGCACTCGGCGAAGCCCACGGGCCGGAACGCGTCCTGCGCGCTCGGCGGCTCGGCGGGGCGGCGGCGGGGCCCTCCCAGGCCTCCAGGGTCCGAGGATCGAGGGTCGAGGATCGAGCTTCGAGGGTCGAGGGTCGAGGATGGAGGGTCGAGGCTCGAGGATCGAGGGTCGGGGGTCGGGGGTCGAGGATCGAGGCTCGAGGGTCCAGGGTCGAGGCTCGAGGGTCAAGGATCGAGGCTCGAGGGTCGAGGGTCGAGAATCGAGGATCGATGGTAGAGGGTCGACGGAGGAAAGTCGAGAATCAAAGTCCGAGGATCGAGGATCGAGGGTCGAGGATCGAGAGCCGAGGATTGAGGATCGAGGGCCGAGGGTCGAGGATCGAGGATCAAGGATCGAGGGTCGAGGATCGAGGGTCGAGGGTCAAGGATCGAGGGTCAAGGATTCATCTCGAGGGTCGAGGGTCGAGCATCGAGGATCGAGGGTCGAGGATCGAGGATCAAGGGTGGATGGTCGAGGGTCTAGGATCGAGGATCGAGGGTCGAGTGTGGATGGTGGAGGGTCGAGGATCGAGGGTCGAGGATGGAAGGCCGAGCGTCGAGGGTCGAGGGTCGAGGGTCGAGTTCGAGGGTCGAGGGTCGAAGTCGGAGGACCGAGGATCGAGGGTCGAGGATCGAGTTTGAGGGTCGAGGATCGAGGGTCGAGGATCGAGAGCCGAGGGTCGAGGATCGAGGGTCAAGGGTCGACCTCGAGGTTCGAGAGTCGAGGATCGAGGGTCGAGGATCGAGGGTCGAGGATCGAGTTTGAGGGTCGAGGGTCGAGGGTCGAGGATCGAGGGTCGAGGATCGAGAGCCGAGGGTCGAGGATCGAGGGTCGACCTCGAGGTTCGAGAGTCGAGGATCAAGGGTCGAGGATCGAGGGTCGAGGGTCGAGGATCGAGGGTCGAGGATGGAAGGCCGAGCGTCGAGGGTCGAGGATCGAGGGTCGAGTTCGAGGGTCGAGGGTCGAAGTCGGAGGACCGAGGATCGAGGGTCGAGGATCGAGTTTGAGGGTCGAGGGTCGAGGGTCGAGGGTCGAGGATCGAGGGTCGAGGATCGAGAGCCGAGGGTCGAGGATCGAGGGTCAAGGGTCGACCTCGAGGTTCGAGAGTCGAGGATCGATGGTAGAGGGTCGAGGGTCGAGGATCGAGGGTCGAGGGTAGATGGTGGAGGGTCGAGGATCGAGGGTCGAGAGTCGAGGATCGAGAGTCGAGGGCCGAGGGTCGAGGATCGAGGGTCGGGGATCGAGGGTCGAGCGGCTGGTGGGCGCTGT